AGAAAATAGGAAAATGATAGGGGGAGGAAGGAGAGGGGGATAAAAGTGAGGAAGGATTAAGAGAAAAGAAAAAGAAACAATTGACTTCCGATTCTTTCTGTCGCGGTAAATTAAGGCGTTCACATCAAACCACAACTTTTTTGTTTTTTTTCATAACTAGTGCTGATAACCCGGCGTTGCCTGGGTATTTATTTATAATGGGGAAATGCCCAAAACCAAACCTAATTTATAATGTTGGATTTTTTCCCCCTTATCAGAGGGAGCTCCCTTGTGGAGTACTGTGAAGCCATTACGATAGCAATTCCACTGCGCTGTACAGTAGAAGCCATTTTACGGCAGTACAGTAGAAGCCATTTGAAGACACAACAGACTGTATCGTAACAGAACACACACCTCCAAGGAGTGTTGGGGTTTCTTACCCTCACAGTATTTGTTTCCAGAGAGTAAGTCATCAAGTTTGGTTGAAATTGCTCAAGGCATTCCAGAGTTATGCTGGAACACACACACACAAAGAGCCATTTTTATATATATAGATAATAATATAAACTAGCCATTTCTATTAAAATCTGCCCGTTTGAATCGGTAAAATCCAAAATCAAAAGTTGAATTCTTTCCCCCTTTGAGCACAAAGCTCAGAAACTGTATCTCCGTGTGGCAACAAAAGCGTTTCTATTCTTTAATCAAACTAATCAATTTTGCCATCAGCTAAGTCTGTCAATCCTGCTCCTTCCTCTTCTCCATCTTTGTTAAGAGGATCCAGAATGCCAGTACAGTAGAACCTCTGGTCCCGAACGCCTTCTGACCAAAACCAAATCGGGTTCCAATCCAAAAAATTCACCATTCTTTTTTTTTTCCGTGACCCATTTCACCTTTTGCGCCAAATTTCCAAAATTACGTTGGGGTTGCGACCAAAGTTATGGAACGAATTATGGTCGGGACCAGAGGTTCTACTATTTTTAAGGAAGTCAAGAAAAAAAAAACAGTCTACCCACTTGTGTGTGTACTGTAAAAACACATCCATTGTTGTTTTCTCTCTCCCCACCCCATCCCTCTCTCTCTCTCCTTCCGTCCTTCCCTCCTCAAATTGTGTTTTTTGTGTGTTTTCCGCAGAAAGAAAATCCTCCTGACATGGACGTAACCGAACAGCATTCCAATTCTGTAAGTACAGATAGTTCTCAACTTACAATCAGATGTTTTTTACAACCGTTTGCAGTGACGATGGATGCTTTACGGCCCATAAAGCATTTCTAGCTGTCCCCAAATGCCTCTTGTCTTGTGGTCACGTGACTGCATTTGGTTATTCTTGGCCACTGGCTTTCCTTTTAACCGCCAATTCAAACCCGCTAACCCCTGGGTACTTGAGAGACCGCCTGCTGCCAATTGCCTCCAATAGACAGATCAGATCACACAGATTAGGCCTCCTCCGAATTCCATCCGCCGGCCAATGCCGACTGGCGACTACGCGGAGGAGAGCCTTCTCTCT